AAACCTGATCTTCGTCCTCAGCACTAATGAAGAGTAGTTGGTTGGGGTCCCAAAACATCCATCTTTTATTGTTGTTAGAAGACAAATGGCTGGGAAATCCCAACTTGAGGCTATAGTCAGGGAGTTGTGAATCAGAGACCTTAGGTTCAATAATGCATAGAAAAGAGGGGTTGTGAATCCTCTTAAGCGAACGAAGTCTGTCAAGAGAAGAGGCCACCCCGCAGACGTTCCAAAAAATAATCTTCATTGGGAAACCTGCCAAGAGACTTTCTTACTGGATTTGCTTCGGGTCTCCATGTTGTGAGTTTGACGGGGCAAAGAAGATCGTCTGAATTTCTGGAGAGGTTGTGAAGTGGGGCTGCAGTGAGAGGCGTCCATTTCGAGAGGCCTAATCTCTGAGGTATCAAAAGGCCTGTCTTTTGTATGACCATCAGAGTGACAGTAGAGGGGGGTAAGATCATGTTCCTTCTCCTGGACATCTTCATCTAATTGAAGTAAAGGATTGAAGGGGGGTTGTGAATCCTCTTAAGCGAACGAAGTCTGTCAAGAGAAGAGGCCACCCCGCAGACGTTCCAAAAAATAATCTTCATTGGGAAACCTGCCAAGAGACTTTCTTATTGGATTTGCTTCGGGTCTCCATGTTGTGAGTTTGACGGGGCAAAGAAGATCGTCTGAATTTCTGGAGAGGTTGTGAAGTGGGGTTGCAGTGAGAGGCGTCCATTTCGAGAGGCCTAATCTCTGAGGTATCAAAAGGCCTGTCTTTTGTATGACCATCAGAGTGACAGTAGAGGGGGGTAAGATCATGTTCCTTCTCTTGGACATCTTCATCTAATTGAAGTAAAGGATTGAAGTAGGATTTAGAGACCCAAAAGTCATCCTTACAAGTGGAAGCAAGGTTGAAGGGCTTTAGGGAAGGAGAGATGAACGGTATAATGGCCAAACAACCATCAAACAAAGGTTCATGTGAAGGCTGGGGGGAGGGGAAGGGGGAGGGTGGTCCACTAGAGGTAGCCTCATCTTCAGGAATATCCTCAATGGTAGGCAACACGAGGGAGTTGTTGGGGGGAGGGTTTTGGGATGGGTTTGGGAGGGTGAAGGGTTTGAGAGGTTAAAAGGGGGGGTTTGTGGGAGGGGTTTGTGTTGGGTTTGGTTGGGTGTCTGCATGGAGGGGTTGAGGGAAAATGGATGGGCCACCAAAAGTAGTAATGGGAGCAGAAGGAGTTTGGAGGGAAGTGTTTGGTATGAGGCTAATGGCGCACCGTGTAGTGTGTGAATCCTGAAAGCAAGTATTGGTCCCCACAGCCTGTTTCAGTTTCCTGCCCTGGCATCGTGTTCCCATCACCTCTTTCCAAACTGAAAGATCCCTGGATTTCCCCACTCCAATGTGCCCCACCTCACTGAATGGAGCAACTCCAGTGAGGTTCAGACCACTTCTTTTCCGGCAAGCTGAAGTGGAGTGACCAAAAATAGAGCAACAAGAGCAGTAAGCTCGAAGGTTTTCAAACCCACAAGGAACCCAAATGTCCTTGCTCCCAAGACGGATGTGAATACGGTCAGGAAAAGGGAGAGAAAGGTCTCTTTCAACACAAAATCTAGGCTTGGACGGATAGACTCCAATGGAAGTGTTGGAATCCACCTTAATAGGCTTACCAAGAAGTGATGCAACCTGGTATAAAGCTGCGTGGTCGTTGAGGTGAGCAGGGAACTGGTTAAGTTGAACCCAGACCGGAAAGATTGGAGATTCCTTGGCCGGCGAGTAGGATGGTGTCCATTTAGAGATGGTGATGATGAGGCCTTTAATGGACCAGCGCCGGCGAGAGAACCATCGGAGATAGTCTCCCTCCCGTTTGAAAAAGAAGAGTATATCTCGGTTGCTGATTCTGCGCAATTTGAACTCGCTATAACCACCCCTGACGAGGAAGTCCTCCAGTTCTTAGATGTTAGCTCTGGAGCTGCAACGACCCACAAGGCTGAAGGAGAAGGGTTTAGCCAGCACCTGTTCCTCATCATGAGAGAAAGATATAGAGGGAACCCCATTATAGATCCCGTGTATATTGCCTGGAAGATTGTCATGGCCAATTTTGAGGAGGTCGGCGAACAGGGTAGGCCGGAAGGTGTGTGTACGGCTTTGTATCTTCCCTGATGACTTACCTTTTCCGGTGACCGGAAAGGTAGAGAGAGACACGGCCATTTTCCAGTATATATATATATATATATATATATATATATATATATATATATATATATATATATATATATATATATATATATATTTTAAGTGGCTTTTTATTCAATAAAAGGAGAAGGAAACATACGGGGGGTGGCCGTCCCCAACATAAGGCCAAAGCAACAAGGAGAAAAGTCCAAAGCACTAAAGAGAAACAATACAAGTTATACAACCCACAAACTAGAAAAAAAAACCTTAATAATCACTACCAATGAGAACCATACAGAAGCATGGCTTCTTTTGCTTGTATTCAGCATCCAGAGAATCCACCTCATCCGCATAAAGCTCCAAAGTCACAAGAAATTAAACTGCATATTACAGAGGAAGAGGGATGCCACAATATACAACCAAACAAAAAACCTCAGAGCACTGCCAGCCATCAAAAACCAGACAAAATACACATGGATTGGGATGCTTTCGATTTCTGCCCCGTCCAGCCATAGTATAACCTCCTCTGAGAACATTAATTGTTGAGATCCATGGAACCAAAAAGTAGCAAGAGAGACCCTCTTAGGAATTATCCCATGAAATTACATGGCCACTAGGGAGTTATCAAGACTCGGGACAACAAGATTATCGGGGCCTAAAACTGTGATGTTTGTATTCCTAAGTACCGGAGACCAAAGTAATACCAAAAATTAACTAAAATCACATAAATTAAGGGGAATCTGAACTGCCAGGAGGGTTTTCCCCCTCTTCTCCTGTGAAGAAGTCATCAACCACATGTTCATCAACTTTAGAGAAAGAAACGAAAATTGGGTACTTTGAACCTTCTAAGCAAGCCATTCGCACTTTCTGCATGCTTTTCACTGTCTCCCGAGTTGCTCTAATTGTCTTCCCTGACATGTTGTGGATGAGACCAAGCTGAAGTTTCTCCAACACCAGATTCTTTGCCAATGCTTCTTGAATTTGATTCACAACTGCCCTGAAGATGGTTTCAAAGTATGCATCAAATGCTGGTTGGAATAGCCTCTGTGCTACCACTTCTTCCTTCTCAATTTCCTCAACTTGTTCTGGAGTAACAGACCTCTCTTCTGTGGCTTTAAGTTCCCTCGAAATTAGACCAATGTCCTGTGCAAATATTGCTGCAGAAATGGACTTCGTAACCTGTTCTTCCTTCATTCCCCGGGCCTGAATCTGCTCTCCTTCAAGGAGAAAAGCATCTTCAAGGCTGTTACTACTAGAAATATTACCCCCTCCCTCAATCCCCCCATGGATTTTAATAGCTTCTTCAAGACCCTTAATGAAAAGATTAATCCCTGCGGATTTGGAGCCTACTGGGATGCAGATTGTAGACTGGTCCCTATCCTTTCCCCCACTAAGCACAACAAATTCACCACTTCTATTAGAGTCCCAGTGGCATTTTGTGGAGGTGGCTCCTTCAAACCTGGAGATTAGCCACCCCTCCCTTGCAAGAGGAGGATGGCCTAAGGACTCAATAAGCCAAGAAGCAGTAGGACATAAGATAGACAGAGAACGGTGCTTACCATTCTTGATTTCGAAGATTGTATTGTTGGAATCTGAAGACTGGAAATCAAATACTTTACTTTCGATTGAGATTGAGATCTTCATACCTCTAATATTAGGGCCATGGTATCGTCTGTAACCAACACGACCCCCAATTCCCGATCTCCACACAGAGGGTCTGGTACCCTTCCATCCGCCTCTCCTACCCAAATTTGGAAATCGATTCTCTCTCCTTTTGTACCTCCATATATCCTGGATTGATTCGCAATCTCCATCGCGGCTGGAGTAGCCGTGTGTGACGCTGCGCGAACACCATCGTGGCAGAAATCTCCCCCTTCTCTCTAAACCAAACCCCATTATATATATATATATATATATATATATATATATATATATATATATATATATATACATATATATGTATATATATATATATGTATATATACATATATATGTATATATATATATATGTATATACACACACACACACATATATATATGTATATGTATATACACATATATATATATGTATATGTATATACACATATATATATATACATATATGTATATGTATATATATACATATATATATATATATATATATATACATATACATATATATATATATATACATATATATATGTATGTATATATATATATATATGTATGTATATGTATGTATATATATATATATATATATATATATATATGTATATGTATATGTATATATATATATATACAGTTGAACCGGAGTTTGTCAACACCCAGTCATTCTTAGCCCTTAGTCGGAGGGAAGGATATTTGCACAATCTTCCCACAGGACAGAGATCTCGCATCCTTCCAAAACCACCAATGACCATCCAGGAAGTGATGCCCCACACCTCAAAATGGTGGCCTTCATGGGATACGAGGAAGCATCTCAACTACATTAATGCAGAGACATGTGGGGTATCTCATAAAGGGGAGTTGGTGCAGATGGAAGATGTGCAGAAGCTGGCCAGTAACAGGCTTGAGGTCTTGGTTAAAAAGTATGGAGGGTTCGATTTCATAATATGCCAGAACCCTTGCACTTACGCTCAAAAAGCTGACATGGCTGCTGACATTGATGGGCCCGCAGGTTTGGATTTCACAATGTTCTATGAGTTTGTACGTGTAGTGCAACGAGTAAGGAGTAAGATGGACAGGAGCTGATGGCCCGCTTAACTTCTTCCAATGGCGTAACAAACTAAAAATGGCTTGTGTACTCATTATTAGCTTGTATTGTGTCTTTACTCTTGTGCTATGTGTAATGTATGATCTTCTGTCAAAGTGTTGATTATTTTAAATGTTAAATTGAATTGAATGAATATTTTGCATTTTTGCATGCAATAATAAGGTGAAGATAGCCTTATANTATATATATATATATATATATATAAGGCTATCTTCACCTTATTATTGCATGCAAAAATGCAAAATATTCATTCAATTCAATTTAACATTTAAAATAATCAACACTTTGACAGAAGATCATACATTACACATAGCACAAGAGTAAAGACACAATACAAGCTAATAATGAGTACACAAGCCATTTTTAGTTTGTTACGCCATTGGAAGAAGCTAAGCGAGCCATCAGCTCCTGTCCATGAAAATGATATTTTCTAGTGAGAATGCAATCTTAGGAGAGAAATGAGAATGAATCTGGTGCTTTAGATTGTGAGATCTAAGGGTCAAGATTTCATCAAAATTAGATGCACAAAAATGGTGCGAAAATGCATCACGTCGAAATGCACCATAAACCTTTGAAAATGCACTATCTCAAAATCTGAGCGCAGGATGCAATCTGAGCCGCACGATGCATCAGATCCGACGGCTAGATTTTATTCTCATTTCTCTCCACAAGGTGCATTCTCACGGGAACCAGCCCTTATATATATATATATATATATATATATATATATAGATATATATATATATATATATATATATATATATATATATATATATATATATATGTATGTATGTATATATATATATATAGACACACACACACACACACACATATATATGATATATATATGAAAATGATATTTTCTAGTGAGGGAGAGAGAAAGCTGCCGGTTTCTAGCAAGCCAGTGAAACTATTCTCCGACCTATTCAAAACGGCTGATGACGCGGGAGCCATCTCTTCCACCATCAAGGGCAAACCTCTGGTCACCTTTAACACAGAGGACATAAGGAGGATTGGTGACTCCTATTCATTCTCCATTAAAGCCAGGTTTGCTAAGGACTTGCAGGTTGCAGACATCGGTAAATCCTTGGAGAAGGGAGGGTTTTCGGGACTCCGTGTTATCTCTCCATTAGCAGGTTCACTGTAGTTATCATCCTCAAAACACAAACTGACTTCCTAAGGCTATTATCTAGAAGGACGTGGATAGCAAATGGTCACCAGATGTATCTCTCAAAATGGGATCCTCTTTTAGAGGATAAACGTGACAGCCCTTTGGCTCTCGCCTGGGTTACGCTCAAGCACATCCCCTTCTTCCTTACTAACGCCCAATCCCTATTCTCTATTGTGAAAACTCTGGGGAAACCAATTCAAATGGATGAGACCACAGCGAGGGGTGGATATTTCAATTCTGCAAGAGTTCTGGTGGAGATGGAAGCGTCCAAACCCAAACAACCTGCCATTCTAGTACGTACTCCTGCATGGGAACGTGAAATTCAACTCACTTATGACCTTCCTTCTTACTGCATAACTTGTGGACGCTGGGGTCACTGCTGCAAAAAATCCCAACCCGTCAGAAAAGTCCTCACCGGCGGGGCAACCTTGGTAAGGCAGCAAGCTGATAAGGAGATCAAGCCAAATAACACACATCAGTGGGTCCGTATTCAGAGGAAAGGAAAGGCACCTGTGAAAATCGGTTTACACCCTAAGAGGGGGGTGAATTAGGGTGTTTGCAAATTTTTTTAATAAAAACAAAAAACTTATGCGCAAAGTAGTAGCGGAGAAAGAGCAAGAAAAGTATAAAATATAAAAATACGACACAAGCGATTTTATACTGGTTCAGGAACTCCCTACTCCAGTACCTCGAGGCTCCTCCTCAAGGATTTAACCTCCACTAACTTGTTTGGCTTCACTAAGAAGACTCAAACGAGGTTTGGCAAACAACCCTTGCCAATAAGCAAACGAGATTTTACTACGGCTATCTCAACCGTTTACAACCGAAGATTTTAAGGCTATCTTCAACCTTACAATGAGGATTTAAAGGCTATCCACACCTTTTACAAATCAATAAAAGATTGGTGTTGCTTCTCTACCAAAATAATAACAAATATGAATTGGGTAGGAGAAGAACAAAAGATTAAATCAACAACAACAGCCTATAGGCAAGATATAAAAATAATGAAGCACAAATGCCCTTGTGTGTGAGTGTATAAAAAGATGAAAGCTTTTTTTACTCAAAGGAGTAAGAAAAATAAGAACAAAGCTTTAAG